GGGTCCGATGTGGGATCAAAGCGGAGACAGAAGAGGTCGTCGAGGCGTCAGTAGCAGCGGGTGGCGGTATGACGTGGATGATCGCAGACGGTGCCGCGACGGTGGCCGGTCTGAAGTTGGTACTAGCAGATGACCACACTGGAGCTGCCACCCGACACCGAGCTGTGCGGCACACCACCACGACCAGCACCACCAGTGCCACCAGGCCACCACGGCGGCTGCTGCTGCTGCTGCGACTGCTACTGCTGAGGCTGTAACTGAGGCGGCTGCTGCTTCTGCTTCTGCGAGGCTGCTACTGCTATTGCTGCTCCGGAGCACCAGCCTCGGTCCCCTCGTTTGCACCAACGTACCAGCCCCCACCTCCACCATTCTTCCCTCTGCCACCCCCCCCTTGGGGCGGCAGCCCTTACCCAGACGCTGCTGCGCTGAGGCCGCAGCGGCGGTCTCAACAGCAGGGGCTGTCTCAGCGACTGTGGCAGAAACGTCAGAGTAAGTGCACTGGGAGGGAGCGCAGCCCTGGAAGATAGGGACCGCTAGACTGAGCGATAGTGTGCTGGCGGGTCTCTATCGCGCACAGGGCGGTGACAAAGGCAGTGAGGGTGAGATCACCTGGGTGCTGACTAAGGAAGTGGCCGCGGGCTGTGGCTAGGCGGTCGGGGAGGCGCATGGCAATGAGGTACAGGGTAGCGCAAACCGGCGGCGGGAAGGTAGTGCACTGTGCCTCAGTGCTAGCGGCGTGGTACCTAGTCTCCAGTGCACGGATGTGAGTGGCAAGGTCAGCGACAGTGGGGAAGGATGCAAGATCAGGTAACAGCATGGGGAGGATCAGGTGACCGGCAGAGGTGGGGGTGGAATAGCGCGCGATGACAACATCTAAGTATTTGTTGGCGTTTGAGACAGCGGTAAAGCGGGGACGCTCAGACAGGGGGGGGGGGCGTGACTGATGGCAAGCTTAGCAACGGCGTTGCGCGAATCCTAGACAGCACAGCCAAGCTCAGCAGTGACAAAAGCCTCACACTCAGCAGTCGCCATCCCCGCGCCCGCTGGCCCCACGTTCACCAGCCCCGCGCCCACCAGCCCTGTGCCCATCGGCCCCGCGTTTGCCAGCCCCACGCGCGCCAACCCCGTTGCCCCGGCCCTGCGCTCCCGCCGATCCCAGCCCGCCTGGCAGCACCGTCTGCCACTGCTCCGCCAGCCGCAGCTCCGCCAGTCCCAGCCCGCCCCGGCCCTTCCTACCGCCGAGTCGAGTTGACCTGCCGGCCTTGGCTCCCCCTCTCAGCCGGCGCTCCCGCTGGAAGCCTCCACCGCACTCCACCGCTCTCCACTGCCCTCCTCCGCTTTCCCTCCTCCCCTTGTCAGCGACAGTCAGCTGCTGCAGCTGTGGTGATGGCGGACTCTCTGCTCCGCCTGGACGTGGAGGGTCGGGCCGTTGAGTTTGAGGCGTGGCTCGTCGACCTCCACCGCCAGCTGACCAGGCAGCACCAGGACGGCCACTCCCTGGCCGTCCATGTCGATGGTGAGCTCCCTCGCCCCGCCCCGCCTGCTGCCCTCCCTGACGCCCCCACATCTGCTGAGCATGAGGCTTTTGTCGCTGCTGAGCTTGCCTGCGCTGCCTGGGATTCACGCAACGCCGTTGATCAGCTTCTCATTAGTCACGCCCTCCCCCTGTCTAAGTGTCTCCGCTTTACTGCTGCAGCGAACGCCAATGAATACTTAGATGCCGTCATCGCGCGCTATTCCACCCCTGCCTCAACCTCTGCCGGCCGCTTGATCCACCCCATGGTGTTCCCTGACCTTGCGTCCTTTCCCACTATCGCTGACCTTGCCACTCACCTCCGTGCAGTGAAGACTAGCTACCGTGCCGCAAGCACTGAGGCACAGCTCACTGCCTTCTCACCGCCCCTCTGTGCTACCCTTTACCTCATCGCCACGCGCCTGCCTGACCGCCTAGCTACTGCCCACGACCATTTCCTTAGTCAGCACCCAGGTGACCTCACCCTCACTGGCTTTGTCACCACCCTGTCCGTGATAGAGACCCACCAACGCACTATCGCTCAGTCTAGCGGTACTGCGCCGGTCCCTATCTTCCAGGGCTGTGCTCCCTCCCAGTGCACTTCCGCTGACGTTTCTGCAGCTGTTGCTGAGATAGCCCCTGCTGCTGAGACTGCCGTTGCGGCCTCAGCGCAGCATCGTCAGGGCAGGGGCCGCCGCCCCAAGGGGGGACGTGGCAGAGGGAAGGGTGGTGGGGGTGGTGGACGTGGGGGCGGGGACAGTGGTGCAGACAAGGGGACCGGGGCTGGTGCCCGGGAGCAGCAGCAGTAGCAGCAGCCTCAGCAGCAGTAGACGCAGCAGTAGCAGCTGCTGCTGTGGGGACCCCCGCCACCGTGGTTGCCTGGTGGCGCTGGTGGTGGTGGTCGTGGTGGTGCGCCGCACAGCTCGGTGCCTGGTGGTGGCTCCAGTGTGGCCACCTGCCACTACCAATTTCAGACCGGCCCATGCCGTGGCACCGTCTACGACGTCCAGGTCACACCGCCGCCTCGACGACCTCTACTGTCTCCGCTTTGGTCCCACCTTGGATCCTCCTGAGTGGTACGCCCTCGCCCACCGTCGTGTGCCTGTCTTTGAGCTTGACATGGATCGGATTAGGATGGCTATATATGTCATGTATGCTGATGACCCTAGTGTGACCGGATCCAGGTTCCCCTGTTGCGTCAGGCGTAGGACCTCCTGCCTTGTTTAGCTTAGGCTCTACGCTAGCCCCCCGGCCAGCTGCCGCTACTTCAGACGCTACTTCTTCGCTCTCTTTCATGCTCGACTCTGGAGCGTCTGCTTGCTTCTTCCTCGACCACACTTCACTCACGCCGCTTGCTGCCCCTGCCAATGTAGCTCTTGCTGACCTCTCCTCAGGTCCGGTAGTTGCACGTAGCTCCACTTCTTCCCTGTCCGGCGGTTCCCTCGAGCTCTCTTACAGGCTTGCACATCCCCTCGTTCTCCAGGATCCTAGCTGGTGTCGGCTGTCTTCAGGACCTCGGCGTCACCGCTACGTTCTCTGGACACAAGCGGTTCGCCGTCTATACCGAGGCCGCCACAGGTGCCCCTCTTACCACATTCCCCCGGGACTCCGTGTCTAGCCTGTTCACGCTGGACACTGCGTCCCCCCGGTCGGAGCGTCCCCCCAGTTTGGCGCGTCCTCTCAGATAGCTGCAGCCTGCTCGTGTCGGTCACTCACCCACCCTTCACAGTTGTGGAACCACTGCCTAGGTCACCCTGCTCTCTTGCGTCTGCGTCGCATGTCCCATCACGGGCTTGTGCCTCCGGCACGAACAAACTCACTGCCCGGACCGTCCCCTGTGTCTTCTTTGGTTTCCCCCTTGACGCGTCTGAACGACACTTTTACCACCCGCCGTCTCACCGCTTCTTTCACTCGCGTAATGTCACTTTTGACGAGTCTGTCTCTTTCTACACCCGCTTTCCCCACCGAGGTCTCCGGGTTTGCCCACCCCTATTTCTGGTTCCCACTCCCCCGGTAGCCCTTGCTCCTCTCCCTCCCCGTCCTGCCCCGTCTGGGGTGTCTCACGTCACTCCCCTCCCGTCGGTTGTCCCGTTCGAGGAGTCGGCTGACTCTGGTGGCCCTGTGGCACCGTTCTCGCCACTTGTCTTAGCCCCGGTGTCTCCTCCTCCGCCGTCGCCGCCGCAGCAGCAGCCGCAGTCGCCGCCGCAGGGGTCCGTGACCTCTGGGGGTGCTCGCCCTGGGGTTACTGTCGTGGCTCATCCCGGCGGTCTTGGGGGTGGCACCGGTGTTGGAGAGGGTTCTTGCCCTGGGGGTTTTGGTGTGGAGTGTCCCAGAGATGGCCATGGTGCAGCTGGAGGTTCTGGTGTCGGCGTGGAGCAGCAGCAGCAGTCGCCACCGGTTTCCGCCCTTCGCCTCCTCGGTCTTCCCTCCCCTGACCACCCACTTGTACCTCCCCTGTTGCCGCCTCCCCTACCTGCCTACGACACTGTGTTTCCTCCGCCGGACTCGTCTCCGGCTCGTTTCCCCCCTCGTTCTCCTCCTGTGTCTCATGACCCCACGCCTCCGTCCCACTTCTGGTCTCGCCATCCCCCTCGTGCTCGCCCTGTCTCTCCTGTCCAGCCCTCTCACCCTGTGTTGCTTCGTTCCCACGTGTCTCGTCCTCCCCTCCTCCCGTCGCCTCCTCCGTCGTCGCTTTCCGTCGTCGCCTGTTGTCGCTCCGCCTCTCCTGTCTGACTACCTTCATGCTGCTAGTCATCTTGTTCCTCGGGTCCTTGCCCCCCTCGTTAGCGACCCGTCTGTTCCTGTCTCGAGTCTTGACGCTCTTGTCGATGCCATCGCTACCCGCCGCCTTGACTACGCCACCGCTCTGGTCTCTGACCCTGCCCATCCTCCGTCCATCGGGGGTGCTCCTACCCTCGGCAGTGACGTTCTGGAGGACCGGCAGTACGAGCTCGCTTTCCTGTCCGAGGCTCCTCCTCATCTCTGCTCCATGCTGCTAGTCCTTGAGGGTGACCCAGACGCCCTTGACATCCCGACCCCTCGCACTTACGCTGAGGCGACCTCAGGACCCTGGGCCTCTCAGTGGATAGCTGCCATGGACGCGAAGATGGCATCTTGGAGATCCACCGGCACCTACGTCGTCGCAGTTCCCCCACGTGGGGTGAACGTGGTCGATGGCCGATTGCTCTTTAAGGTGAAGCGCCCTCCCGGAGAGCCGCCGATGTTCAAGGCGCGCTACGTAGCTAGAGGCTTCAGTCAGCGCGAGGGTGTTGACTTCTTTCATACCTTCGTCTCGACCCCGAAATAAGGGCGGATTCCTACGAAGTGGAATCCAACGAAGTTGGATCTAGTTTCACGCACTACCCAGCTGAACCGCACTGATTGTGCATTTGCGACAATTGAAGGGTACTGTACCGCACGCGTTGGATCCAACTTCGCTGTATCCAGCTTTGCAGGAATCCGCCCTAAGTGAGAAGGAACCAGGCTTACTGGAAAAATCATAACCGCTGAAAATAGTGACATATATGTAACGACCAAGTGCTCTCATACCTGAGTCCAGTCCCATTCTCCTATCTCGTGCCTATAGCAGTAACATTGCCTAGGGGGGTGGCTCTCTTAGGCGGGTGCCTTGTATCATCGAGTACCCATGAGAGGCAATGCCCATTCTTTGGAAGCTAGTGCTCGCAATACAGCTGCTGCCGTCCATTGCTTTGCCGCCCTTTTGGAGGGCATTGATTGGCCCGCCACCTTGACCACCGTTGACCCGTCACTCGCTTGGACCACACAATCCATGCAGAAGCTGCAGAAGATTGAAGGAGGAACCAATAGAAAGAAGGAATGTTCAGTTCGAGTAGGCCCAAAGTTACTCGAACCACCAAACAATCCCTACAGTAGGTGCACAAAATTATTTAGAATATGTACAAGGACATGGCTCGAAGCCACAGGCGTGAATCACATGATCTATGAGAAAGCTGCAAAACAACACGACGGACAAGTCGGAACGAGACAAGTCGGAACGAGACAAGTCGGAACGAGACAAGTCGGAACGAGACAAGTCAGAACGAGAATGAGGAAGCCAGCTGCTGACAGACCGAGGAACAACACAATGTTCAACGCACATAAACAAAAGCTGGATGTTTCAACGCACATAAATGAAAGCTGGATGTTTCAACGCACCTAAACGAAAGCTGGATGTTTCAACGCACATAAACGAAAGCTGGATGTTTCAACGCACATAAACGAAAGCTGGATGTTTCAACGCACATAAACGAAAGCTGGATGTTTCAACGCACATAAACGAAAGCTGGATGTTTCAACGCACATCAACGAAAGCTGGATGTTTCAACGCACATCAACGAAAGCTGGATGTTTCAACGCACATAAACGAAAGCTGGATGTTTCAACGCACATAAACGAAAGCTGGATGTTTCAACGCACATAAACGAAAGCTGGATGTTTCAACGCACATAAACGAAAGCTGGATGTTTCAACGCACATAAACGAAAGCTGGATGTTTCAACGCACATAAACGAAAGCTGGATGTTTCAACGCACATAAACGAAAGCTGGATGTTTCAACGCACATAAACGAAAGCTGGATGTTTCAACGCACATAAACGAAAGCTGGATGTTTCAACGCACATAAACGAAAGCTGGATGTTTCAACACACATAAACGAAAGCTCAAACCATGTTGATGGGACGAATTGAACTCCTACCTTCATAGTAACTAGCGCTGCTTCACATGCGGTACCCGCATGCCCATAAAAAAATCCATTCCATTTCTGTTGAGTATCACGTCATTTCGTTCCACTTCTATGGAGTTTGTGTTTTGTTTAGTGATCTTAGTGCTCATGTTTCTCCAACTCCCTGTTATTTCTTTTTTTCTGGCACGCATAACAAAGGTCTGGTCTCGCTCAATTCTTGCATCCCTGGTATCTGTTTCGTTCGTCGCCTCTGAATTTCGTCGGGTGTTCGAAGCGCCCAAATGTTTTCGCCTGGCTAGTCGTCAAAGTTTGTATGTTTCCCTCCTTTTTTTCTCTTGCTCGGCGCGTTTAGGACAGACAAACTCTTTGCGCTTTCATAGTTTTAGAAAACATCAAACACAGAGCCGTGGCATGCTTGTTGGGTTGTTGATCTTACGTGGAAAAGCCGTAGTCCTTGATGCCAGAGTTGATGCCAGCATTGATGCCAGCATTGATGCCAGTGTTACTCGAGTCAGGTGCAAGAGCGCCAGAAGCATCCCCACCAGTGGCACCGTTGCTCAAAACATCACTTGCTAAACAACTGTTGTCACCATCTGTTACGGCATCTGCTACCACATCTGTTACCGCATCCGTTCCTTCATTCTCCAATGCCTTGGATCCGTTGCAATCAGACAAAGCCGCGGTGTCTTGCTCCACTGTGCCAAGTTGAACCTCTGCTCTGCCACTGCACACAGCGGTCCACCGCTGCACCATGGGTGACTCTTGAGTCGACTCAAAAGCCACCTCTGTTCTGTCACCCCACATGGGGATACTGCGATCGCTGTACACTGCCGTCCACCGCTGCACCATGCACTTGTGATTCAGAGCCGATATGGCAGCCGGACCTGGCTCACAGGCTCGGAAGCCAGCCGAAGCACTAGGAGCACCAGCACCCGAATCACTCTCCCCTTCCATGGGTGTTGCTCCCCCCCATCCCCCCCATCCTGCAAATCCAGCTGCTGCCGCCCCCGCTTTGCCTGACTTCCCTCGCTTTCGCTTCTTCCCACCTGCCTGCCTTTGCCCATCAATGGTCTCATTCTCACCCCCAACTTCACCAGCAGTAGCAGCAGTATCAGCAGCACCACTGGCATTTCTGCATGGTTTAACATCGCCAGGTAAACCCGTTTCCAGCAAGCCTGCTTCCCCAGCCGCCTCTGCTGCTTCCTCTCCCTCCAATCGTGCACTCCCTTTTCCTCCTTCCTCCTCCCTTCTCTCCCCTCCTCTCTCCTCTCTCCTCTCCTCAACTTCGCCCTCCTCTCTCTCCCACATGGCTCGGATAGCCCCCAATGCATGTGCGCCTTGTGCCTCCTGGTACAGCTGCAGAAAGGCCTGCACCGTCTGATGGGGATGGTGGAGAGGGGGAGGAGTCCCGAAAACACAAGGGGCATGTGCATGTACATGGCCATGAAAGAAGAGAGCGGGGTTAATGGGAGAGTGAGACATGGGTGAATAGCACACATGGGGGGCATGGTGCATGATGCATGATGCATGATGCATGGTGCATGGTGCATGGTGCATGATGCATGGTGCATGGTGCATGGTGCATGATGCATGGTGCATGGTGCATGATGCATGGTGCATGGTGCATGGTGCATGGTGCATGGTGCATGGTGCATGGTGCATGGTGCATGGTGCATGGCACCACCTTAGCAGACTCACCTTGTTGTAACACTCACTCCGCGAGTATCACCCCTTTACGCTGAACTCACTGCAACTCTCATTCACTCACATCTTCACACTCCCCCCTTTAAACTCACCTCACCACTCTAAGTACCCCAGCCAGCAGCAGTACCCCGCTCACCTCTTCAACGGTAGATGCCATATCATCCACCCCCCACCCTCCCCCCAGCACCACTTCATATCAACATCATCAAATGCAGCACCACACCCGCCCCCCAGCACCACTCATTGCTCTTGCACACGCACCTGTGCTCTCCTCAGTACCCCAGCCAACAGCAGTACCCCTCTCACCCCTTTCACAGTAGCTGCTACATCGTCCTCCCCCCAACCGATATAAGGTATGTTTTGAGACGTCTCAAAAAGCCTTACATCACCTGTGCTCTCGTCAGTACCCCAGCCAGCAGCTGCTTCAACAGAAGCTGCTACACCATCCACCCACCACCTGTCCCCCAATCACCACATCATCAGGAAGTGACGGATAATGCGCCTCACCACAACATTGTCCAATTCACCAACCTAATTTTGAGGCGCCTCAAAATCCGCGTGATAGGAGTCTAGTTTTGAGGCGCCTCAAAAATAATGCGCCCCAACATTGTCCAATTCACCAACATAACCACTTGACTGTCGCCCTTATTGATCACCTGTGCTCGCCTCAACACCCCAGCTGAGAGGAGTCTTTTTTTGAGGCGCCTAAAAAATACACTCTTCACCAACCTAACCACTTGACAGTCGCCCTTATTAATCACCTGTGTTCGCCTCAACACCCCAGCCGCTGCTGCTGCTTCAGCAGTTGCTGCTATGCCATCCACTCCCCACCCCTCCCCTGCCACCCCTCGTTTCAAGCACAATCACATCTTTGTATTCACGTCATGGACCTCATTCGACTGACCGTTGCTCTCCTCAGCACCCCAGCAGCTACCTCCACCATTGGTGCTGCATCATCCACGCCCCACCCCTCCCCCAGCACCTGCCTCACCTCCTCACTACCACCCTTTCACCCACTCATTATTCACCTGTGCTCTTCTCAGCACCCCAGCAGCTGCCTCCACCGTTGCTGCCACATCATCCACCCCCCATCCCTCCCCAAGTACCACCTCCCTCACTTCAACCTCCATCACCACCCCCTCCTCCCCCTCCCCTCCTCTTACATCCCCTTCCCTTCCACACACCATCCCCCCCTCCCTCCCCCCCCACCCTCCTCCTCCCCTGCCTCTCCCCCCTCCATCTCCGCTTCCTCCCCTTCCCCCCACGCCTCCCCCCCTCCCCCGTGCCCCTGCGCCTTGGGGAGGTAGAGGGGGGAGGGGAGGGCGAGCGCGCAGCAGAAGAGGAGGAGGGCGGAGGGGGGGTGAAGGGAGAGCGGGTGCAGGAGCGGGATGGGGCGGAGCCAGTTGGACACCACACGCCACGTGCGGTCGAGGGGAGATGTGCGGTCGAGGGGAGGTGCGAGGTTGGAAGGACAGGGGGAATCGAGTGCAGATGAGTTGTTAGGGGGAGATGGGGGGCAGACGAAAGGAGATGGGGGCTCAGGGGAATAGGTGCAGTCTGGCTCATGTGGGGGGTTGAGAGCGGTGGGAGGTCGTGTTGGAGGCATGGAGTCGAGGAAGACAGCAGCAGTGAGGGCTTTAATGAGATCAGAGACGTCCTGATGTGTGGAGGGGGGAGATCATAGCATGGTGACACCACCTGAGCACGAAGCATCACATGGCTACAGGGTTACAGGGTTACAGGGTTACAGGGTTACAGGGTCTCATGGTTACATGATTAGAGAGACTACCTTGGGGAATGGCTTCTGCTCGCCATCACCATCAATCTCATCAGCACCAGCAGCACCAGCAGCTCCAGCAGCAGCAGCAGCAGCAGCAGCATCAACGTCCTCAGCAGCCTCAAAAGCGTCTGCAGCAACCTGCGCCGCCCGCTGTACCTTGCGCACCAATCGCAGCAGCCCGCGGCACGCCGTCAGCTGGCCAGACCGCTCCGCGTGCACCACGGGCTTGCGCAGCAGTGTCAGCTGATGCGGCGATGACGTGGCAAGTAATGACGTGGCGAGCGATGACGTGGTAATCAATGACATGGCGAGCGATGACGCGGCAAGCGATGACATGGCGAGTGCTGACGCAGTGTGCAATGATGACACGGCATGCAACGATGACGCGGCAGGAGAGGTTGCATGCACCAAGTGCCGCATGACCAGGAAGTCTAAAAGGGCTTCTCCCAGGAACACAAACCGTCGCTCCCCTCCCTTGAGCTCCCGTTCGCTCACAGCGGCCATCAGAACAGCCTCGTCTGTGAACCGATACCCCATTGCACCCTGCAGCCTCGACAGCCAACCAGCTGCTGCCACGTGGCACCTGTGGTTCATTGCAGCAACGGATTTTTTTAAGAAGCTGGGCTGCCGGATCTGCTGACCTGGCGGCACCTGGTCGGGTGGTGATGTGCGTACTGGCTGCTGAGACGAAAAACCTGGAATCTGCTGCTGCCCCTGCTGCTGCGCGCACTCCCCTTCATACATCCGAGGGCGCTTGTTTGGCGGATCAAGCGGCAGTGGGGGTTGCTCTTTGGTTAACTCCCGTGCGTGCTTGCTACCACACAAGCTTTGCTCGCCTGCTGCTGGTCCTGCTGCATCTCCCCCTGCTGCTGCTGCTGCTGCTGCTGCTGCTGTTTCTTCTCCTGCTGCTGCTTCTCCCGCTGCTGCTGCCTTTCCTTCAACCGTATCTGGCTTTTCTGCAGACCCCTGTAACCCTCCATGGGCCAACCCCTCTACCCTTTCCTTCACCACCCCCTCTTCCCCACATCCCCATCCCATCTCACCCCTCACAAGCTCCCCCAACGCCTCTGCGCCTTTCTTCACCACTCCCTCTGTGCCGCTCCCCCTCCCCGTCTCGCCCCTCAGAAGCTGCCACACGCCCTCTGCCCCTCCGTTCACCGCCCCCTCCACCCCTCCTTTCGCCCGCTCTGCCTCTCCCCCCGATCTTATCTCGCCCCTCAGAAGCTGCCCCACGCCATCTGTCGGCAGGCCCAGCCACCTCAGCACAGGCAGCGCCATGTCAGCGCCGCCGCAGCGCCAGCTGGCGCCCACGAGGGCCTCTGCCACGTCAGCGAGGGTCTTCTTCCCCAGCTGGCGTGCTGACTTGGCGGCTGCTGCTGCCTGCGCTGCTGCGAGTGAGGCGAACGCAGAGTCAAGGAGGGCTTTGGGGCTAGGATGGGCGTGAGGACTTGCAGCCGTTTGTGATTGTTGTCCAGCCGTTTGAGCGTGAGAGGCAGGAGGTACAGCCGTTCGTGATTGTGTGTTTGAGAAGGGGTGTGGTTGGGCAAGTGAGAGTGAGTGTGAGTGTGGTTGGGAGAGGGAGAGAGAGAGGGAGTCAGCCAGCAGCAGCACAGCATGGGAGGGAGGAAGGAGAGGGCCCACCCAGTCAGAGGGCCTAAATGGCTTCCACCGAACAAAGGCAGGCACACAGGCTTTGGTAGCCAGCGAGGCAAGGTGCTTGTTGGACACCAGCTTCACACACCGCCCCTTCATGTCATCGTATGTTGGCAGGTAGACATCGCTCTCACTGAATGATGGCACGTAGTTTTGTGTACCATGCCCATGCCCATGCCCATGCCCATGCCCATGCCCATGCCCATCCCCATGGTTATGGCTGTGCTGCTGACGTGGCATGGATGTGGCAAACAGGTGGCACGAGACGGCGAGCTGCAGGCAGCTGTCTCCGAGCACCTCGTCCCTCTCGTACGTTCCAACGCCGCTTTCTGTTGTTCCAGGGCAGGTGAGAGCCTGTAGCAGCTGGAAAGGGGGGGGTGGGGGGAAGGAGAAGATAGAAAGGAGGTGGTATGAGCAAGAGCTGCAGGCAGCAGTCACCAAGCACCTCGTCCCTCTAGTACGTTCCAATGCCGCTCTCCATGGTTCCCGGGGGGCAGGTGAGGGCTCGTAGGAGCTGGAGAGGTGATTTTTGAGTCGACTCAAAAGTCATCTCCATGGTTCCCGGGCAGGTGAGGGCTCGTAGGAGCTGGAGAGGTGACTTTTGAGTCGACTCAAAAGTCATCTCCATGGTTCCCGGGCAGGTGAGGGCTCGTAGGATCTGGAGAGCGGGGACAGTGGGGGGGGGGAGAGGAAAGGGGGGGTGGAGGTGGACAGGGAGTGATATGAGCAGTAACTGCTGGCAGCCTCGTCCCAGCACCACGTCCGCTTTTGAGGCGCCTCAAAAGCAGTCTCAGTTCACACGGATTTTGAGGCGCCTCAAAAGCAATTCTGGCAGCCTCGTCCCAGCACCGCGTCCCTCTCGTAGGCCTCTCAACGCCGCTCTCTGTTGTTCAGGTGAGTGCTCGCAGGAGCTGCAGGGAGGGAGTGGGGGACAGTGTGGATGGAAGGCGACAGGGAGGATTGTGTGTGGGCCACCAACAAAAGAACATCACATCACCCCTCTCGTGCGAACCCATGCCGATCATAGTGGTTTTGCGACAGGTAAGTTCCTGTAGGAGCTACAGTCGTGAGGATAGGGAGTGCGTGAGGGGGAGTGCATGGGGATAAAGCAAGCTGAGGGTACGCTGCAGGGAGGGAGTGGGGGAC